TGGAGTTAAGAACTGGGTTCTGAGAAAAATATTTTACGGTAGGGTCAGTTAAACCAGAAAGAAGTGATCCTAATCAGAGGTTACATCCACACCAGAAAGAAGTGACCCTAATCAGAGATTTCAGTCAAATCATGCAGGTGAAAATTCGCTTCAAGTTAAATTTCATAGTACTGAAGAATATGAATTACCCTATTCTCAGGTATTGTTTTTCCTAACCCTGTACTCAAGTGGAATGTTTTTTTTAGTGGAGCTAGACAGAGGGGCCAAGGACTTTTTTTTTTTTTTTTTTTTTGTCAGGGAAGTTTTTTCGAATAAATTTTGAAATGAAATTTGTACCGTGTGTTTGGCGCTAAAAGGGTGACGGATCAAGTTGAAAATTGCAATTGGATTAATAGTGCTACAATAAATGTATAAATAAAAAATGAAAAATAAAGATTATGATTTATGGCGGCAAAGAATTTGCAGCAGTCGGGTAAAATCCCGACTGGATTTTAAACACGATATTTTGGAACTGGGTATGCAGGAACTCTGGGTGTCTTCTCAAGCATGCGTCCTGGATTTAGGGCATTTACGAGGGGTAGGAAAAGAAAATCTGTTAAGTTTACCAGTCTATCTGATAACACCCCGGTTTGTCATATTGCGACTCATGAAAATAATACACGTCATAATCCTCCATGTAGATACAAATCTTATCGTTACCGCAGAATGAAGGAGACTATTATCGAGAAACATATAGCGCAGACATTAAAAAACAGAACCATCACATTCATAAACAGTCTCAATAAAAGCCTTGTGGTATTATGTAGGGGGAAAATCTACTACCCATAAAAAGTAAAGCATGGTGCATTGAGATCGACAAAAGGAAGTTGAATAGTGTGACATCCTTAACTAATTATTGAAGAAATGATCAGGAAGATTAAGTCTTCTAAGTAATGAGTATTTTCAAACAGCAATGAGGTTTAAGAAGGTCAATAAAATAGATATTATTAATAAAATCCGGGGTTTATGTGTTTCTCGGGTTGTCATGGATTGTGTGTATCACCCGCTACATTAATATAAGCAAAGATATCATTTTAAGCCATTATTTGGGAAATTCACGTGTATTTATTTGGTGTGATAAAATTGTTACTATTAGTACGATTGACGAATATATTAAATATCCTGAAGAAGTTTTCAGTTTGCTACAAGAAGCTAGCGTAAAGTTTAATGAGGTAAAATTGGAAGTTTTGTCGTAAGTGAAATCCTGACCCTGAAGGCAGGAGACAGGAATTAGAAAATTCCGCAAACACGTCTGATTTTGCAGTTGACGGGCAAGATAGCAGACTGCACACTTTAGAAAGACATTAGATGACGTATAAAACTATAGTCTATAACGGACCTCTTGTTTGCTAATAGCAGTCCAGAAATTCAGAGTACATTTTGGAAAAGAACTTATCACCGTTCCAGATCCCCCCCCCCAATTATTCGTTTCGATTTTGGAAAGTAACTTATTACCCGTAATGAACAAATGGCATTAAAATTTCATGACATTCATCTAAAGATCCATTAGCCAGGAAATGAATATGAGTATGATGACGCATTAATCCAAATTAGATGAGCAAGGAAATCTCAACTGTCGGACGCTGACTTACGCATTTACTGGATTCTAATAAAACACTGGTCAGGCAATTAAATAAGTCCCAAATTCATAAATATATATAATTATTTGCAGGATTTGGATAACTTTCACACACTAACATAACAGGAATATGAAACATATCAAATAATGATAAATAATTGAGGAACCCTTGTTTTATAAGAAATACACAAAGAACAATAAGAGAATTCGGCCACATGGGTCTCAGTCCCTCCATTAGTTATCAAGAACTCCGATTACTCATAAAAACCCTCCGTGAATTTCTAAAAAAAATCTGGATATCAGGATTTTAAAGCCCAGATGAAAGGCCAAAATAAATTTCACATCAAACTTTTCTCGATTGAGGCGTATAGGAAAATCACTGCATTGCTCGACAGTAAGAGCATCAAATTTCATGCCTACCAGCTAGCTGATGTCAAAAATTTTAAAGCTGTCCATACGCAGCCTCCCGATTGACGCTGATGTCTCCGAGATCCAAGACGCTCTTGTAGCTGAAGGTTTCAGCGTGAAAAAGGTGGTGCAAATGACTAGACGCATGGATCCAGAAATCATCAAAATGCCCCTTCTCTTGGTGACGCTTCAAAGAAGTGACAAGTCTAGGGATATCTTCCAAGTCATGCCTTTACGCATCCAAGTCATGTGTTTACGCATCACGGTGGAGCGATATAAGGGCAGGAGTAGTATCCTGAAGTTCTTCCTCCGCCAGGCCTTTTTTTAATGCCTAGAGCCAGTGCGGCCAAGCACCCAGATGTGTGAAGTGTGCACTCGACCACGAGTCAAGAAACTGTACAAAACCTAAAAGGGATCCTCCTTGCTGATGTCACTGCGGCTTGAATCACACAGCTACTTTGAAAGAGTGTGCTTTCTACCCTAAGCCCCGGTTGGCATTGGTGCAAAAAAGGGGCCACTTACGCGGACCGCGTTATAAGAAACAACAGCAGTAAAGAACAACCAGAGATGACTCTCCCTCAGTTAGAGGAACTGAAAACCAAATTAGAAGAGGCTAATGCTATTATCGTTAAATTAAATCCGCAGCCATAGCTATGTTTTCCGACTTAGCTCCAAATCATTGCCTGCAGTCATCTCTGCAGCAGCAACTCCAGCAGGCCCGAAGGAGTGTAAGATGAATAATTACATCTCACAGCGCTGCGCCCCCATAAAAATTCTGCTGTGGAAAGCGCACAACATCACCAACAAGATGCCTGATCTCCAGGAATTTATCATTCAACACGTGGATATTTGTCTCATATCGGAACTCATGCCACCCCTTCCCACAACCTTAAGCTTGTCAACTACTTCACCTGTCGCAGTGACAGAGAACCCTATTTTTGTAAAAGGGACATTATAATCCTGCTTTAAAAGTGCATACCACTCCAATGGTATGGAAACTGTGAAAACTATGATCAAGCTACTAAACTTCGGTGCTGTCACATTCTGTGCCATTTATAACAAACCGGGAAACTGTGCTGCTCATCTCGACGGATTACTTAAAAAGGACTCCTCAACAATTTTAGGAGGCGTTCTAACGCCAAACATCGAGACTGGGGCTGTACCACCTCAAACTACAATGGACAGGTAGTGCATGACTTTGTAACTAATAACCCAATTTTTTTTAAATGTACCTGGCAAACCGACGTACAGACCTAATATTATTAACCGACGGCAAGATATTTTAGATTTAATCATCGCGAACATAAACATTCCCATGTCTTTCTCAGCAATATGTCACATGACGTCAGAACACGTACAAGTGCATCACTAAACCCAAGGACTTACCGTCAGTAAAAATCACGGGCCGGGATTTATTTTATAATATCCTTGATGACTACCCCATTGGATAATGGCTCCCTAAAAACCAATATGTACACTGATAATGCTGTTGAAAACTTATCTAAATTCCTCCATAATGCTAAACCTCAAGCCACAAAAGAGGTTGATCGACTGCAGCACGAGCACAACTCCCGCTTAATATCAGGGATTATCTCTTTTCGAAACTGTCTCCGTAAAGATTTTGGTCGCACTTGGAACCCCAATATCAAGACGGAGATCAACGGGATTGATCGTAAAATAAAACAGCAAATTCAAGCTCACAGAAGCAGTATGTGGCAAAATAAAATTGAAACGTTGAACTGCGATTCTGGCGCCATCTAGTGGCTGACAAAGTCACCCAAAAAACAAAGTTCTTGCAAAAAAACCGCTGAAATGCGGCCTCATTTATTCCGATAGAGAAAAGACTGAACTTTTAGGCGATCACTTTGTAAGGTATATTTTAATTTCATAACAGTTATTTTCATTTTTAAACCCTTTCCTATCACTTCTTGTTTCCACTTACAACTCCCTACCAGAATGAGTTTTTAGAATCATGCTGGATGCAAATGAGTTAGAGGAAGTATTTAAGGAAGGTTCAACTAACATCGATAGAGTGCTAGGAGTCCTCAGTGAAGCATGTTTGCCTTCTAGCTAAGTCACTCTTGAAGCTGTTACGCTCGGCCGTTTTATACGTGCCTATTCGCTGGCTAATTTAATTTAAGGGCCAAATACGTTAGTTTAATTTAAGGTCTAACTAAGCGTTTAGCGTGGGTATAACATTGAACAGAAATTTCACCTGGTCTGACGACATGTACAGAGTGTGTGGCAAAGTTTACGGCACTGTATTCAGGCTTTTTCCACTACTGAAAAGCGAATACCTTCCTCTCAATTTGAAAAAGAGACTGTATACTTCCGTCAGTTGTCCGATCATTACTTACGCGTCCCTTGCATGGGCGAATGCCAGTGAAAACGAAATTATACGACTTCAGACTCTTCAGAACAAGGTTTTACGTTTCATCACTAACGCTCCTTACTTTGTCAGGAATAGACGTTTTCACTCGGACCTTAAAATGGGAACAATACAAGATTTCATCAATAGATTGAATGAAAAGTTTTACAACAGGACCATGAGTAGTAACGCTGTAAATTTTGCGAATGTTTTAGCCTATTAAATTTTATCAGAGGATAAGAAAATCAAACTATTCACTGCACATGTTTAACATTATGACCTCCATGACCAGGCCAACCAATCAGAAAGCCAACCAATCAGTCTGTTACTGGTTTTACACTTTGCGAATTGTGCACTAGAAATGCGCGCTATGATCGCAATTTCTGTTCATTTGCCTTGAAACTTATCAATCAAGCATACTTTTATAAACATACAACCATCTTCAGCTGGTGGTTCGGTAAAACCATCGAAACTAGTCCTGTGAAAATTTGAAAATATAACGCTGATTTTTGTTGTTTGACTTTTGAATTAGTATTTGTCCGGCGTGTTATTGTGTCTTAATTTTTTACACTGTATGTCAAAATCAAGGACTACTTCAAAATACAAATTAAGCGTATTTTATTTAGTTTTCAAGTTTTAAATCATATAAACTCTTTACAGTAACTGCAGCACAAAAATAATTTTCCAAAATTACAAATCAAAAAATTAAATTTTAGACATTTTTATAATTACAATAAAATGACTTTTTAGCTTGTTTCAACTGAATTTCTAAGTACAAAAGTTTCATTATAAATATATAGTAAAACCACATCAAAATATATAAACAAATATGAAATAAGCATTTAATTATTTAACTTACTCCATATGGAAGGAAATAAATGGATTATTTTTTTCCATTACCCACCACAAAGATATGAGAATAAAAATAATTGATACAAATGTTCTCCACTTATTTTAAGTGTACCAAAGTACAAAAAAATATTAAAATGCTTTAATTCAAGACACTAGAATACTGTGAAATTAGTATAAAACAAACTTAGGAAAGAAGAAACTTATTAAAACTCAGAACCGCCAATATTAAATAAGAAATATCATGTTAAGTTAAAATAAGTACACATGCCTGAATTAATATAATCAGAACCTACAAGCTATAACAGAGATCTCAACATACATTTATTTACTTTATATTTTATTACAACTTAGAATATTTTGGAGGTTTCTCAGATTTATTTATAGTTGCTTCAGCAGCTTTTAGAACATCTTCACTTTGAAGCATTGTCATGTTCCAGTATGTCTGTAACAAAAAATTCAAAAAACTTTTGAATGCAGTTTTCTTAACATTTCAGTATATTTTATATAGTTTTAACACATATAGCTTAACAAAGTATTACTGAAGAAGTAGAATGATACCCTCAATATTTTGTATGTACACGCTCAATAAAAGAGTGTAAAATATGTTATCTTTTTTTTAATAACTGTTTTGCTGCATTTATTTTTAAAAATATTTGAAATGCATGTAGACATATAAGAAGTAAAATAGACCACAAACTACAGTGTTCAGAATAATGACAGAAACTAGAAGATCTGTATAATAATGGTAATAATAATAAAAACATTTACCATAAACTGCAGCCCATCTTGCACACTGTGATCTCTAGAAAAATTCAAGGCGACCTTTGTTCCCTGAATTGCAACTGGACTTTTAGAAGCAATGACTTTAGCTAAGCTTAAAGCAGCAGTCATCATTGCATCCTTCGAAGGAAAAACTCTGCCAATAAGTCCTATCTGAAAATTAAAATAATAACAATAAAAAATTCTGTACTTTTACTGTATCTGAACTTCGTATTTCTGTTAGTTGTGATTATTGATCAATTTTTACACAGAGCATGAGAATTTTTTAAAAAATTATAGGTTTGTAGAGATTATTTTAATTTTCTAATAGTTAATTTTAATTTTTGAAACCCTTTCCTTTAAATTCTTGTTTCACCACTTACAACTTCCTGCCAGAATGTGATTTCAGTATCGCGTTTTATGTAAACGTGAAGTTCATAATTTCCCAGTATTTAATGGGAAGTTCAGTCACCCATAGAACAGCTGAGAAGTTCTCAGCAGAGTGTGTTCTGCCTTCGGGCCACGTCGTTGCTTTAAGCCTATCTTACTACGTTCAAGGGCCAACTCCGTTAGTTATTTCTGTACATTTTAGGCTAAAATTTACTTAGTTAGAATTAGTTTAGTCTCTCATTTCTATGTTGAGCCCAAATGGAGGCTTCCCTGTAAGCCGCAGAGGGGCCGTCTGTAGTATTTCTTTGAGTGAATAAAAGGGTATTTTAACTCTTCTTTTGACTTGTATTTTATAGCTGCAAGAAGACCAGTGAACAGTCGTTAGACACTTCACCAAAGTTCTAGTAGCCAAGGACACGTAAATTAACTAGAACTTTATAGGTTTCTGTAAGAAACAAATCATTTTTACTCAGCGATTCTCAGCTTTATTAACAATAATTAATAATATTAAACAAAATAATTAATAACACACATAATAATATCACACATATATTTAAAAAATAAGCTAGAAAGAGACAGAAAAAGAAAAGAAAAATGAAAATTCGCCTGTAACTAGAACTTGCAAGGCAACAAAAAAGCTTAAACAAAAAATTCTATGCAAATTCCCCAAACTTACATAATATTAGTACGTTAACATCTGAGCAGTAGCTTCTAGTCTGTCATTCACAAGTTCATATTTAAGAATTCTACGAATATCGCCAATTTGAAGAAGCGAATAACGGCCGAACACTGAAAGCCAAAGACAAAGAAAGGCAAAAATCAATTCCATTAAAGTTAAAATTTTAGAGTCATTAGGTTTGTCAGAGCTGGTACAGTGAAAATCGAGCAGTGCCCTCGCCATGATTCAAACTCCGAATCTTCCGACTGCCTATCGGAGGACGTCCTTCCAAGTATACTACGAAGGCATGCGGTAAGTAGAAAATACCCTACATTCTCCCTCTCTTACACAACGACTGGGGAGAAGAAGATCTAGTTGACAAATCCTGGTGGTGACAATTTATTGTCCAACACATCAAGTACCCCTTGTTGAAGCAAGAAACACGAAAATTGAGTTATGGCTTCGCCGGGATTCGAACGTCGCACGTCCCGATGCTAGCCGGACAAGCTTCCAATTACATCACAAAGGCACGCGGTAAAAGGAGAAAATACCTTACAGGACAAGCCAGGCAATTTTGTCAGCACAGGCAGATTATCTGCTATCGTGAGACATCCCCAAGCATCAGTTACGTTTTTTTAAAAAATAATAAATATATCCTTTATCTTAAGATGAGGGTACTCCGAAAAGTTCAGGTGAGGGAAGCACTTCACTTAAAAAATTCGTCACTGTTTCATCACTTCTAGAAAGTAAAATAAATCTGACATTTGTTCCTTCTTCAACCTTACCCATTCTTTTAGTAGCTGATCACATTGGCTATAACAATCATGAGCGCACTAATCAACAATATTTTATCGCCTAAGCTATTTTAAGTTATTAACAACTTACATTAAATGTCAAATCTACCGCTTTTTACAAGGCTTTCGTGGTGTCTTCATGTCCAACTCTATAAATAATGATAAAAGAGATTATTATAAGTAGTTTATTAAAGTTTTTAGCTTAATGTCTACCAGTGGAAGAAAACTGCGCATCTACCAATCCTAGTTTTTACCTATCTGTCAAACCCAGCCCCTAAAACAGGGGGGTGGGAATCTCAACGCCAATGAATGGTTGCATGAAATTTTCGTGGTTTTTCTCATATCTAACGTGAAAAAGGTAGTTTCCCTTAAAATGTTCTTCACAAATCACCCCTCCCTTTAGGCAGATAGCCCTCGTGTACTTTGCCTATAATCTAAATAAACCATCTAATTCACATTTACATGCACTGATACAGGTTCTGTACCTTCTAAACACAAAACATGAATTTTTAAGGTTTCGATTACGGAGAGTATTGGATGAACTGGATGAAGATGTGTTAACATTGACCTGGTGGAGTGAGAGGCGAAAACCCAACAGAAAAAACGCTTTCCTCGAATTATGTACGGTTCTACCCACCTCCAAGTGCCAACTATTCCCTTCTAAAGTAAAATAACTGCAAACTCAAATGAAGGCTTAAAATAGATCTGTCTGTCTACTCATTAGCACAACAGTTATACAAAACTAATATATAAATAATAGAAAACAACCTCTGCAGCTTGAGGGAAATTCAGAACAAATGCTCGTCAAATGAAATTATTTAGACACAAAGTAATAAATGCCTATTGAGCTTTGGCTCGACGTTCGCTCGCAAAGCAATGGCGGCAAGCGAAGTTAAAGTTGATAAAGCAAGTCAGCAGCAGGAAGAAACACAAACGTAACCGGTCAGCGACCGCTGCCAAAAACCTCTCTCGAATTAAAAAACTCAGGGCTTATATATGTTAATTAGTTTGAATCCTGGTGGGAATGGATGAAAACAGAAGTGACAGTAAACTAGCAAGATAACTGGGTTAATTAACAAAAATACCAAATCTACTACACGATAATATAAGACAACTAATTTTATTTGGGAAATACAAATGAAACTTCGCCTGCGCAGTTTATGAGAAAGTTCAATACTTACAGCTTCGTAGTTTAAAACAGAATCAAAACAAAACACAGCTAGTTATCATAAGCTGAATGAGGTGATCATTGGACAGCCAAACAGGTTTGGCTGTCCAATGATCACCAGGTTACAGGTTTTTCTCATAAAAGGTATTATGAGAAAAACCTGTAACTACTTCTTATAAGCTAGAAGTCTGCTTGTATTAATGCAATTTTATTAATAAAAATGCAAACTTTATTAAGCAGAACTGTTTGTGACATCTCAGCTTGAATAACCCATTGGAAAACTGTGCTATATGTCTAAAATTAAGATTACCTTGTTAAAGAAGTCATCGCACTGCATATAAGTGCTGAGTTCTTAAGCTCAGCATTAACATAAATTCAGTGATAATATTTTACACACCTCGAGAACATTAAAATGCATTCTATTAAAGAGCTTATATGACAAAAATTCATACTGAGCAAAAATATAAAATATGCAAATACATACCTAAATAAAAAGGAGAAGGGAAAAAGTCTCATAACTTACAGTTTTAGCTTCTTGGGGATCAATCTTAGCGCAGCTATACGCATACTCTCTCACTAAACTATCATTTCCAACTATTTTTGGGAGCCGCTGTAAAGTTCCCATATCAGCAGCCATGCCAACATCCACTTCCTGCATTAAAAAAAAAAAAAAAACAATAAGCAAACAAACTATGCATTTGAAATAAAACATTTTACTATGTCGAATTCACTTTCTTATACAATAAACAATCATACAGTACGTGCTAATACAACTTAATAGAAATTCAACGATCATACAATATGGTGAACATCACAATTTACTCATTAGAATTAGTTAACTTATACACAGTTTACGGCATGACTGCAATGACTTAGATGCTTTGCATTTAGTCGATTTCATAAAAGATATTCACTAATCCATAAGCAAAGATTTCTCGAAAGAAATAAGAATGATGAATGGTGTTAAAGAACAAATTACATTCTAGTCATTTTTTAGGAAAAGCAAGCTTACCATTGACAAAATGAGTAAAATGCTGAACAATAAATCAAACACGGTGAATGGTGAGGTCTCTCATGGAGACCTAAACTGACTGCAAAAAAAAAAGTTTCACTTAGTAAGAGTTGGAAAGGATGCAGAATTGCAGAAGGTACTTCAACGAGGTGTAACAGATGGTACAATCTATTATAGTTGTATATAGTTAATTAAAGTGTTATAGTTAAAATGTTGAGTTATTTTAATGAGTGTACTTCACATGTGTTTAGAACCAAACTAATGAGGATATGGTGAAGTCTCACAGTTTACTTACAAGCTTTCGTTGCTGTTAATGGGAATGCTCAAACCGAAACTTATTGATTCCTTGTGTTTGTCCGCAAGTGAAGGTAGAATTTGCTTTGATGTTTTGTTTGCCATTACAATTTTTTGTATAGTGTCCGAGTTCGCTAAGTTGAGAAACGAACGTAGCGCTATTAGCTCTACTTTAACAAATTAACAAAACTGTAAATTTTGTTACTGAAGATTCTAGCGAGATAGTTGTAAATAAATTCGAGCGCGAATAATAGATAAGAAAATTAATTTAAGACGCTTAGATGAAGTCGAAACTGTTACTGATGTTAATCATATAGAAGGTAAAATTACTCTGTCTCAAGAATACTCGTAAAAAATTGTCCTCTGGAAACAAAAAAATGATAAATGTAATTAATATATTAATGAAAGATAAAACAAATATTATTAATGTATCCTTTTCTATTCAGCAACCGCTTACGTTATACCACAGAGCCTAACTTTTAGAGAAACCAAAACAATTAAATTTCCTAAAGTAATTATAAATAAATATTATGGTGATCCTACTTCTAGACTAGAATTTTATTACCAGTTAGAAAGCGTTATTCATAACAACCATAACCTTACAAAAATAGATAAATTTACTTAAGATCATAGTTAAGAGCTTTGAACATTTAACTGTATAAGTAGTTTTGAGTTAACAAAAGAAAATTTTGACGCTGCTCTGAATATATTTATTTATTTTACATATGCCAAACATTAGCGCTTAAGCCATTAGTTCACGGGCTCTCCAGTACTTTTTAACAATGTCCTCATACTGCGAAAGTGCAATACAGTTATTTAAATGTTCAAAAATCATAGGCTGATCGGAGTCATACAAAATACAGTTTGGGGAATCCACCGCTCCAATTCTGTAGAAGTGATCTCGCAAACAGTCATGTCCGGTCAGACGTCTAAATAGAGCTACCGCTGTCTTTATTGGAAAACTGGGAATGAAAGTTGTTTCTTCCCCCAGAATCCTCCAACTCTTATCCACAGCACGTTGAATCATATCCTTCTTAAGAATTTTTTTAAGAGTCAGGTTAACAAACAATTTAGTAGTATGAAATGAAATCGGTCGATTAATGCGTTGCATTATGAAAATTCGTTTCTTAGCCGATGTATCAGCTTTTTCATTTTTCATAATTCCACAGTGTGCCATTGCCTTAACGCTTACAGTCTAAGATTCTTTGGGAACTATTTTGATTGCTAAGAAGAGCTTAAAATGCACTTCAATCTGACACTGGAATCTGACAATACAAACAAAAGAGTGGTGACGAATCGTCGATGTCCGCCGAAAACATCGCGGACGAAAACGTCGCGGAGAAAAAAACGCAAGACGAAAACGTCGTGGTACAAAATATCGTGGGAGAAAATAAAGCAAAGAGAAAATATCGCAGTTCTAAAACATTGTGGTACAAAATATCGTCGTTGAAAATAAAGCGGTTCAAAAACTTCGCAGTATAAAAACATCGTCGTCGAAAATATCGCTGTAAAAAATACAGTACCTACAAATTATTGCATACGCTAACATCACAGACATGCGTTTTTCAGGCTTTAATTATTGTAAAAGGATACTGGCATAATGATTTGTAATAATTTCCTCAATAATTTCCATTGCAATAAATCTTAATTGTGGATCGCTCATTTTGTTTTAAACAACTCTTTGAATAAGATCAAGATTCACATTCAAATTCAAAAAGTCTAAGGAACAGTGTGGAGAAGGTAAAATTAGATAATCTCGGCTCAGTTGCAAAGCATCAGATTCTCTATGAGCAGCCTGTATAAAGCCAATTTGAGTATTAAGATTTCTAGAAATTTCCTTATTATAGTTCCTCCAAAAAGGATTGTCGGTAAGACACACCAACTTCTGGTATAATAGGATCGCTTTTTCTCTTAATACAATCATGAGCAGGTTCCAAACTGGTTAAAAGCCGCATTGTAAGAATAGGAGTAGATCTCGCTGCCTAGTAATTACGCGTAACGCTTGGTTCTGGAAGAATTCGAGGATCTGGACTACATTCTTCGGAGCCGTGATGAGGATCTCGCTACAGTGACCAATAATTAGTTGAACGTATAATTTGTAAGTAGTCGTCAATGTCTCTCTGTCACCTTGACACGTTTTAAGACAGACAGTCTTCTTACGGCTTTATTTTTCAAATGTTCCGCATGTTTTCTCCAATTTAAGGGTAGATGGAGGATGCAACCCAAATATTTTGTCGAGCCATTATGTTGAACATCTACACCTGTATATGTCAACGTCGGGGTAAAAGTCTCTCTGTTCAGATTGAAGAACTGGCATGTGCTCTTATCCTGATTTACTCTCATATCATTTTTTAGACACCAATATTCCAGCTGTATCAGAGCACTATTAAGAGTCTCATTTAAACCATCCTGCTTCGGCAAAAAGGGCGCTACCCACATTGACACAATGTCCGGTAAATCGCTAATAAAAGCATTAAAAAGAATTGGGCTGATGACTGTTCCCTGTAGGAGGCCAGTTTCAGTCTGTTTAATTCTGGTAATATCCCAGCCATATCTAACAGCAGATAAAGGCTGTGGTAAGGAATTCTTAATACATAAAAACATCCTGCCATTTATTCCCAAGTTCTGTAATTTGAAAAGTGAACCGACATTTATAGTGAACCAACGCAAAATACCGAAACGAAATTAATAAACCTTCTGGTCTAACGTCCTTTGGGATCATAATGTAATCTTTAAAGAAGGTTAGTTTAGTTATCATTATTATTCAACTTTTGGAGCACTTTTTATTCCAAAATTTTATTCTAGAAAGTGTTTTTAGGTAATCTCAGAACTACAGTTTAAGGAAATCAGGTCAGGGAGTGAGTGGTTTGATCCGAGTTTATTCCACAGATCACATTCCTTGTTCGATTCTTTCTGCTGTTCCTCATCTTTGCCCACCGCTCTTGATCCATAATCGTTCTCAGTGTATTCATCAAGGTCATTGTTAGTGAGCGGTAAATCGTAAAAAAGAGTTGATTCGGTTCAGTCAGCGAACGGTGCCGATCTGATCCCTTAAAGCAGCGGTTTTGTCCATCTCTAGTCTGTACATGATGGATAAAATAAATTACTTTTTCTGATGTATTACATATATATATATAGAAAATTAAATGGAGGAGACCAAGTAAAAGGTCGCGAAGATACAACTTCTGCATTTAAACTAAACATTGATTAATCTAGATAACTTCTCTTCGACTGCTTTGAATACTGCTTAGCAATTTTTTTTTCCGGCCTGCCGCTTTTTTATAAAGGATAAATGCGTTTTCTTAGGCTTCAAAATTTTTACCTCTTAGCGAGATTTGTCAATTCCCTTTTTAAATTATTATTACTATTTTAATAGCTTTATGGATTATTTCAATTTAGTAACAAGCTGACAACCACAGATTTCGTTCGGTACTTGCCAGCAACTACAACAATCTGCGATCTCCCCCTATTTCTGTCTGGAGTGTCACGTACCTATATCAGTTCACGAATTCATTAATGCAGTATAGTTTAGATTATATTACTTTTATAAGCTTAACTACATCGGTATTAATATGTTAACTTTGAACAACTATGTGTTCTACGTCTGTAAGACATTTGAATTATTAAAGTTCGAAATGGAAAGTACAAGTAAAGTGAATCTCCAAAGTAAAGCGGATTCAAAAGTTAACATATTCATAAGATATTTTTAGAAGAAAATGATTAAATGACAGAATGTGTCTCCAGCCGTTATTCAAAACCCTTCAATTTTCCATCATTTATTTGTAATTACAAGCAAAAGGGGGGAAAGAGAAAGCACTGCTGAAAATATATTTCAATTTAAATATTATCATCTAAAAATTAATACATGTGAATAAATCATTTTGGGAAATAAAACTAAATACCCATACTACCCCGAAATACTTATGAACGGCACACTGTTGCATTTCTGAATAATCCACAGCCTTCAAAAGTTAAAAAAAATCGTTTGCAACTTCACATATCCTCCCAACTCAAAAAATAAATAAATAATTTTACTTTATTACTTATGCTAAGTTTTCTGCGAGGCCGCAATATCATGGAGTTATTCATCCTGTTAGTTTTTATTTAGAAACTGCCTCATATCTGTTAACTAGAATTTTAGCTAGCAGATTTTCATTTTTATACTTCAACAGACCTCATCCAAATAAATAAATAAATAAATAAAAATAACCCACAGAATTCCTGTACAAACTCAAAACTTTTATTTCAAGGAATGCTAGAATATCTAGAAACTAAATGAATCACTAAAATGTCTACAAAGCCAACTTGTTTTGTATTGATGATAACGGAATTTTATTACACTGAATCTGATGAATGAGTCTTGCTTACTAATAATTCACTTAACTGATACACTTTGAGAAGCTTTTTGCCAAACAGAAGGATTAGCTAATGTAAACATCTTCAGTTTTATTATTTCAAATAATTCCACGCACTAATTTGACTGTGTAATTTTCATATATTCTTCTTTTTCAGAATGCTTTCAGCACTGAAATGTCCAAAGCAAGTTCTAACGGTCACCGAAAGTTATTACTAAAGGGTGTATGATGGCCTGTATAAGTTTGAAATTTCAATGGAAAATAATTGGCTGTAACTGAAATAATTTAAACAGCAAAAAATGTTAACAAAGTCATTTCTTTCATCGAACATTTATATTAACATTCTGATTAACCAGCACTACAAATAACCAAGCAAAGAAAAGATGTCTTGAAAATAACTAAACGCATGAATTGGTGATAAAGAAAAATCTCTGTCACAGATATCTAATAAATAATTGATATAATAAATAATACTAACTAATAATTGATATAATAAAAATTATCAAATAATTGATAACATGTACACAAAAATGCACATAAAAAATTTTAATTGAAGAAAATGGCTTAACGAATATCTCCAATGAAGCTCTGGATAAGCATGTAATGTGAAGATACATTCTTCTTGTGACTATTTTATGTATGAACTGAATAAATCGAAAAAAAGATTACATATTTTACTGAACTCAAAGACTGGTTTATGAAAATGATGACCCATATTAAAATAAATTAAACCAATGATCATGAATTTGTTTGAAATTAACAGGAAAGGTATAACCTATCAGTATTACAAAAATCGACAAGAAAAATTATCTTCGAAATTAACAAAATTGTTTAAATGTGCTTAAGCGATCTAGGTGCCAATGTTTTACAAAAGGGAAAAATTTATGACTTTGTGTAATGTTTTAAGTAAATAATACTTTCACATCTTGAGCAAAGCTACAATTATCCAAGCTCTTAACTAACTGGTGAATTATTAGATATTTTTAAGATTTAAAAAACATTAAAAACTATCAACTTTTGCTGCTTTAATTCTCATATTAAGTAATAAAAGTTCATTATTACAGATAGCAGAATATATTATTACATATAACAGAACACATGCTGTAAATAAAACTGAAAAACAAAGGACACGATAGCAAAATAGAAATGATCAGATTTTCACAAAAATCTAATAAAATATTATCTGGAAATGTTTTCACTATGTTTTCAATATAGTGGAATCTTGGACCATGAACAAATCGGTTCATAAACTAATTTTCCATATGAAAAATGTCTTGGATGTCTCGAGTTACGAACAAGTAAGTCGACAACAAATTATACGCCACAATGAAGCTAATGTAGTGGAGAAAATGTATTGAGAAGAAGAAGACGCAAAGGTTCATTGGACATTTACCTTGTTAAAGCAGCAGTAAGCCGTAACATAAATACTCGTATTTGCAATGACAGTCCCGTGTTTTACTTTATGAACATTTTAAAACATAAACCGAAACAAATCTTATTGAACAAATTTTTAATGGGATAAAGAATCAGCGATTCTCAAATGGAGGTGAGCGGATTAAAGAGAAAAGAAAAAGGAAAAAAACCCAGGGGGTAGACAGAAGCTATCTGACATTTTTTAAAAATAGATTTCCCTTTCAAACAATAACATTTTGCACTTTCGGTTTCTTCACCCTTTCTTTCTTCAGCTTTCCTTCGTAGAAACAAGGAAAAATGCAGTTCAAGTTTTCTTATTTTTTACATGTTTAGTATTGTGTTAAATATTGTGTATTTGTCACTTTTGTGCATGTGCTACATTTAATGAATTCTTTTAGTTTCGGAATATGAACATACATACAAAATAGTCTTTTCTAAACAATCATTTGGGATGCGGGAAGGGATTACATTTATATTTTACTTTAAATCCTATAGGAAAAACGGTTTCGGTTTACGAATATTTCGGGTGGAGAACAATCTTCAGGAATGAATTAAGTTTGTGACCCAAGATTTCACTGTATTTGCACATGCATTTTTAATTATTCTCTTCTTTTACATGTTTCATACAAATGTATTACAATATTTGATAAATGAATGTTTTTAATGAGAAGTTAATAAAAACTACAACAAAACAAATACTGTTGAAATTAACACAAATTAAGAGACCGAATTTTATTAATTTAGTCTCGTGTAACCTGAAAGAATTTTTTATACAAAATTTAGCCTCATTCCTTCATGCTTGTGATTTTAACATTTCAGCCGTTGGCGAAATTTCTGTTCAACTGCTTTCCATTTTTATGTTTATTAGAATAAAATATCCGAACTCATGTTCGATGTATGAATGAACATGAGTTCTATTTTAAAGGAGGGCAGAAAATAAAAAGAATAAAAAAAAGCAACATCCCATAAATAGTATATATTGCTTTAAAAAATCATCTGAAATAGATTACAATGAAAATGCAAGAAATTAATTAAATGGCATATACACATTCAGTTTAAATGCATTACCTCTATCTCAAAGAAAGCATCTGCTGAGCAGTACCTGATATCACATGCACATATAAGATCCACACCACCTCCACTACATTTCCCATGAATGGCAGCAATAACTGGTTTCTGACACTGCAAAAATATATCACAAGTTAATTAAAAATTATCACATAGATAAAAAAAATATTTTAATTTGCCAATTTTAAATAATGGAAGAAAAAAGCAGGCAAATATGTAATGAAAAGTATCTTGATTAAAAAACGTGACTACTCTGAAGAATAATTAAAATGAGAACTATGCAATATTAGTACACCTGAATAGGTATCTAATTATGATGACGAATACACTTCAACATTTAGCAAACCAAAAACTTAGATAATAAGAAAGAGTAATAGTCTCCATTCTAACAGAATGGAGATCATATAACAGAATGTCTTGTGATAACACTTCTATGATGGAAAATAGCTTAAAAAATTCTATTACATACATTTAAGGATAAATGTATTACATAAATACTATTTGAGAATTACACTGTTTCAAATCTCAAGATCTTTATTATAATTTCAAGTGGGCATAAACTCACCTTTAAATTTCATTAGCTCATTTCATTTGAAAAATTTTCAAATTTTCAACCCAAAATTGATCACAGAAATTTTCTTAAATTTTACCGATTCATTTTTACATAACATATAATACTCCATTTTAAGTATAAAATGTTTAAGAAACTTTTAATGAGTTAAATGAATGATTTAGTTATAATATTAATGTATATTGATATATATACAGTACAAAGTCCGAGAAGCGGAATCGTCGGCTTTTCGACGATTCCAGATTTTGGAAATTTCCGAATTTTACATCATCAGTTTAAATCTAGTAAGATGACATATAGACATGGTTACACAATGGCTTCGATTATTCAGATCAGATAGAAGAACACTATCTGTTCAACAAGAACGGCGCGGCAAAAAAAAAAAAAAAAAAAAAAAAAAAAAAAAAAAAAAAATTAAATTTAGAAAAACACTGAACGGCAGATATCAGGGATGCCAAAATTTTTAGAATTCAGGAGCACTGGGCAGCAGAATTTAGCGGCAGCAATTTTTTTTTTAGAATTTAGGGAAGTACGGGGCAGCAGAATTTAGAAACAGAAGAGAATGCACCAGACAACAAAATGCGTAGTGCTGGCCCCTCCTAAATACAACCATTCAAGGGTTGAAAGTGTTCTCCTGGCCAAGATCAAAGACAACATCAATCAATACACTGTTACTTGGCTATGGCCGCCGATTCGGTATAGTGCTAAGTGACGCTGACTGCCGTACCAATGGGTCCGGGCTCGAATCCCACGGAGCGCATGGATGTTTGTAAGCACCTAGTGGGGAGAAATATATGGGAAGAAAATATTCACCCATACATATGGGAAGAAAGTGTTCAAAATACACGGCGAGCCGAAAATCTTCTCAAGAGGTTGTTGGTAGGACAAGAAGGGTGAGAGACTCTCAAATCGGCCGCGGAGAGTTCTCCCTCAAAATTCGTACGGAAACTCAACAATTAGCTTGGTTTAGCAATACTTCAATCACCTGTGCTACTACAAAGGTGCTGGCCTAGCATTTACTTGCACCTGTTACTATATTCCACCTGTACCTACGATGCCTGTCCCTAGCCAGCAGGTGCTTGATACTGACATCCAAAAATCTCGGATGGGGGGAAAAATCGTATTTACGGCAAACCGGCTTCTATTTATTAAGTACTATATTCTCCATTCGTAGACTGAATAGAAGGGAGGGTTCATTATTTTAAATTAATCATTTATATTTCTCTGATTGGAGGTCCGAATGACCGTATATTAGATCATTCCGAATACTGGAAATCGAAATTTTGAACTCCGTATTGTATTTCTAAAATGTAACTTTCTAAAATGTGACTTGAGAATTCTACTAAAGTCCAGAGACCAGGAAACATCCTTGTTAAATTTTTATTTTTAGTTTCAAATTTTACAAAGCTTAACAGTTTTATTTAGCTTTTAATAAAGATGATTTTATGCAACAACACCTCCTACGCTTACACAAAAAATTAAAAAAATCAGCAAATATTAAGTAATTCAATCATTATAGCTGTGCCTCTAATTATTCAAGACGTTATAAAAATTCTTTATTATTTATCGTTCTCTTAATGAAGAATAAGAAAACTCATATGAGCGACTTTTCAATCAATCAAAACTGTTAAAATCGTAAGCAAAGCAAATCTGAACGTATATAATGCGGTTATTTTCAATAGAAAGTGTTTACAGCAGAAATGCAAATGCCAAGTCACAGAAACAAATATTTTGTACAGCAGGGGAATAATAATAATAATACTTTAAATGATACCTATTTTTAATAATTATTTAGGAGTTCCAAAAGTATAACAGCAAAGACCGTTCTAAAAATCAGCTAATGCATAATATTTAAATATAGTCAGCAGTCTCAGAGAAAAAAGCATGAGTCAAATAGAAACTAAGAAACTAAAAATGTTTTGGGACCCTCACTCAAGCTGAATTTTTTTCAGTGCTAAGAAATGTGGCTTATTTTATGAATGTTGAATGTAGCTTAGAAGTCATTTAGAACACACAATGGCAGATACAGCGAGAGTCACCTCACAGTTCCTAGTGTTCTAAAAGCATAACAGTACTTTAATTATTAATTACTGTATGAGAAATGAGAAACTATAGTAGTAAGTATCCAATCACTTTAATGCAAAACTATTGTTCAGCATTTGTATTGAAAAAAAATTCAGTAAAATTGCTTATTTATGCAAAATCATAACAGTTCAACCATAGTTACACAGAGTGTTCCAATGAAGTGACCGCAATTTTTTTTCTTTTAAATATTAATCCTAGATCCATGTCATTTTTCAACATTTAAAGGAAAATTTACGATATTTAATGGGCGGGGGAACTCATCTAAAGTTTTCTCCCTTAAATTACTGACACAATTACAGGAATAAAACAATTATCTAAAAACAGCTAATTTTATGACAATAGTTTGAGCACTTGGGAGTAGAAAGCTTCTGTAAACATAAAATATAGTTATTTATATTGTTGGTATTCATCAACAATATCGCAGTGATTTAGTAAGTTAACTACATTAAAAAAAAAGGCTAGTCCTTTATGCGCAAAACAAACAGAGATATTAGAAAACGAATTTACTGTTTTAGACAATGCTTTAGAGCCTATTAAAAAGCAATTTTGAGCCAAACAAATCTGCGCAAGATTTAATAAGAAACTAAACCATTTTGGCGATTAATGCTTTCACATTGGGTAAAAGAGCACTTCTTATTAATTCTGTATCCAACTCTATAGAACTAATAAATACTGATATATCTACAAATTTTGTGCATAAAGGTATGGAACTTTTTATAGTTACATTATGAAAGCATGATGAAAGCTTTACTAACTGTACTTGTCACTCTACAAGAGCCACACATAAAGTTAAATTTTATATTTGCAAACTCCTTCTATTCTCAAAAGCTAAGTCAATATTTAACAGGTTTAATTAGCTGCCAGAGCCCTATACAAAGCCGTCAGGAAAGATAAAAGAAATTAAATAAGTAAAAAAAAAATAAATAATGAACACTAAATTAAATAAAATATAACGAAATAAGTAATAAATTGAATTAAATTAAAAACAAATAATTAAATAATATTAAAAAACCGTTCATTTTATTTGGGGCTCCAGCTGGAATTACGATTTTACTAAATGCCTGAGAAGTACTGAAGCACATCTCTGGTAGACTCAGGCCGAATGTAAGCCATGATATTTAAGAAAATAATACTTGTAGCAGCCTTTTTTCGAATATTTGTATACTTAAATTGATTAGTCATTGCTGCAGAAAGAAGTCTCTTTAAATTCTTTCAAAAATTAATTTTTTGACACCCTCACTTATTCTATTCAATGATTTCCTTTAGCATGGGCTCGCTAGCGGCCGGACAGTAAAGTATACCTTGTGTATTTAAATTGCAAAAAGTGATGTTCCCATGTTTTATCAAACATTTCTTACAGATGACAAGAATTCCTATCGTAAATAATTAAACAAACTTTTCCTGATGTATTTGAGAACATTATAGACACAAATTAAGCTAACCACTACCAACTACGATATCAGAATCATTTTACTAGAACAGATATTTCACAAAGTTATCAAGCATATGCATGTGTACTACCATACGTGAAAAAGCAGCAATATTAAGAAAATTTTCATACATATGCAGAAATATATAAGAAACATAGAATTGGAGAAGAGTAGCATTTATATTTAATTACCTTAATCATAAAAAGAGATTACATGATAAAAATATTGCAATTTTATCATGCTTTATATTACACATACTATGCATAAAGGAGTTTTGAGCTTTTTTAACATTTTAGAGGAGAGAAACTAACATTCTCAACAGCATTGAAAGATTCCTGGTACTTAGCAATGAGAGACAACAAAAATTTTGCTTTTCTTGCAACATCTCCCTTTCCTGCTACTTGCGAAGTAAGATCTTGCATATCAGAGTAATCCAAACCTATTATACAAAAAGTAAATTTATACATAAGTATATCTATATGGACGGCATAAAAATCAAATATACTCTATTAAAATGTCATGAAATAAAAATAAATAAAAACTACGGTATCTTCTTTATCTTAGCTTACCAATCAACTACAGATTCACACTAACTGTGCCTTAAAATACTAAGTTAATTGTTCATATAAATGATTAATTATATAAATTAATATGAATTAAAATTAATGGCTATTCAACATTTAAAAATATCAATGAACAGAATATGGATTTCAAGTTTATGTTGGCTTGCAATATTTGTTTCAGGTAATCCTCCGGAAGTTATACTAAATATTGTACTAAGCAGTACATTAATAACCAATTATGATAATGAATACCTACAGTAAAGATACAAATTGCAGTATATAAAGAATATGTTAAAATAAATGTGAATAATACTGTAACAATATTCAAAACAGACTTTATCACTTTGTTGCAACTATCCTACCTGGTGCTCGATGATGAGCAATACAAATCTGAGCTACAGCAAACATAATATTCACCGTATGATTAAAAACTGACATAAGACGTGGTAATGTGCACACTATTTTTCATTATTTTCAGTTTTTAAAGACTACTCAACATGCGTATTTTTACTCTTTTTATTAGAAATGGTATATGAAACTAAAGAAGTATTTAGCATCACATAATTATGTACGAAATCAATAAACATACATAAACACACCATCTACATTTCTAGTAACGTGTTAAGAAGAGCTTCAGCTAAAAACGTAGACGCAAAAATAAATAATCGGATACACTATTTAAACTGAAATCGGAAAACAGCATATAGTGACATTTTCAAAAGATAAAAACAACGAATTTTCCTGGCTAAACGATAAAAATAACGATTTTCCCCTATATAAGCTAATATAAAAGTACCACATAAAAGAACTGAGGAAGATGAAAAAGGGGAAAAGAGGGATATTTTCTCCCTACTTTCTGCATGCCTTTATGGTGTAACGGTAGCACACTCGGCGCGTATTCGAGAGGTCTAGGTTTGAGTCCCGGCGAGGGCATTGCTCATTTTGCGTGTTTCCTACTTAAAAACTCCTAATGACTCTACATCATTACAACTTTCTTTTTATCAGGTAACATGAAACTCGTCATTTGAATAAAATGAAAGAAAAAGAAAGATTTTTTTATGAAAAACTCCTGGTTGTTTAAACATATACCAGTACTGATTTTTCCCCTAAGAGATACTTATTTCATTGATATTATATGCAGATGTGTTTGAAAATAAGTACATCGGGCAAAAAATTAGTCATGTGGCATATTAAAGGAGTGTTAACAACAGACGTCTGTAGGCGTTTAAAAGAAGGATGGGAAGCTATACTGAAGGGCAGCATTCATAAACTCACACAAAACTGACGAGGACGCAGGAGCTACTTTTATTAACAATCTTGTTGATGACATCAAGAAATTTTTCAGGGACCTGAAATCTTATATCAACTCATCTAGTATTCAAGAAGTAGCTCAAATTATTCAAATTTAACAAATAGTTAATGCACTAGAATAACTGTGACACCAGATCCCAATAATAGCTAATTCCCATCTCAAGTGTTCTCCACTTTTTATGGCCATTTGGAATACCTGCATATTCGTGAACAAGAAAGATGAACTTCAAGAATTTATCCTTGATAATAATATTGATATTAGTCAGATCATGGAGACCCACGTTGAACCGAGTGACAATCTTAAGATCATAAATTTCCAGTCATACCACTGTGACCGCCTTACACACAGGGGCGCCGCAGTAGTAACTTTGGTCAGTTGTGTTCTCTCTTTCTGCCGTGTTAGGATAATAGCAAGGGTTATGAAGTTGTGATCATTTCAGTCACCCTTCTAAATTTTGGTGACATTTTACTACACCGATCGACAACACTTCCAGGTAACAAGTTGATAGATAATATCATTGCATTATTATTGCCAGATTGCTCTCCTATTATTCTGAGTGAATCTAAATGCTAAGCATTTTGACAGGAGATGCTGCCTACAGTAAAAGTAAAATTCAAACCACTACATCCTCAATAATCCTATCTGCATCTATGCTCCAGGGAAGCCAACTTATACGCCCCTTATTCCAGATCGTACACCGGACATTCTGATATAACGCTCACAAATATGAATAATTCCATAGTCCTGGCACACGCTTCATTAAGATCCCAGCTCCAACCATTTTTCAGTCATAGCCAAATTAGAACAATAATCCAAAATTCAAAGTCATCATTCAGTACAGACTCTACCTCAATATCATTCTTTACTGCCCTCCCAAATGCTACAAACTCTCGAATCAAAGTGATATTGACTCAGCTATTGGGAACTCCACTACAAGGCTAAATAAAATCTATCACGAAATAATTCAGTTGATTCTAAAGCGTTTTATTGGCTACAGGCTCCAACAGATATTCATGTGATAATTCTTACTTCTGAAGCTAAAATTATTTCCATGATCAGTTCCCAAAAAGCCTGTGGAATAGACGAGACAAATAATACGATCCACAATCTGCTAAAGATTTTTTTTTTTTTTTTTTTTTTTTTTTTTTTTTTTTTTTTTTTTTTTTTTTTTTTTTTTTTTTTTTTTTTTTTTTTGTGCTTATTACGTGCTCCGTCCTTAGGCACTACACGGAAAGGGAGGGATGCCCCGTGGAGGTCTTTTTAAGGGAAACTGGCTCGTAGCCACGTTACACATGGAAAAAACCACCAAAACGTCCATGCAGCCAGCCCGTTCGCCGGGACTCGAACCCCGGACCGAACTACCAGTGTTCAGCGGCTTTTACCGCTCGGCCGCTGGTGGGGCGCTAAAGAATATTATCACAGAATTATTGAATTCATCAATATTTTAAACGCATGCCTCACAATGAACTATTTCCTTGCGTCATGGAAAACACCAAGATTGCCCTACTATCTAAGCTTAACAAGAACTATAGCAAACCTGGGGGTCATAAGCCTTTCAGCTTACTGTTAGTTTAAATTTATCAGCAGCCCATTCTACATCCAACGAAACCGTACATTGGCTTTTTATCCAGTGAAGAGTTTAAGTTTCGAAAAGACTTATCTATGGCTTTCGAGATGAGATAAGTCTTTTCAGTTTGCGAGAATCGCTGAGTTTATCGCAACTACTCTCCATCACAAGAAGCACACAATTGTTCTTATACCGTATGTAGAGAATGAATTCGATCAGTTGTACTTAGGAAATATAAAATTTAACGTTTTATAAGGTCCCTGTAGAGGAAAAGGGCCAATCAGAAGAATGTTCATCATGCTAAAACAACATTTTATACAAAGCGTTCCATATTTTGCTCAAAAACATTAACGACTTATCAGCAATTAATAATTTCTTGAGGTCAGCTACAAAGTTAACAAATAATGCTGTTTTATCTTTCGCCATTTTTAGGAACTTTTATTTAGCTCACTCATAATGTTTGTCGCTATGGTCGGAAGTTTGTCGTCGATTTTTAACTTACTTCCTGATAAGCTATCGAATTCAATTTTTTACACACACTGTTTGTGGATTAACAATGTAATGTGGTGAAAGGACTGTTTCAAAGTTCGATTTAAATTTTTTGAATTTAATGTTTAAACGATTTTTCGCACATATCTTCGTTTAACGAACAAACTAAACAATCTGAGAAACTTACGGTTTGCACCATTAGATAGAGAGGGAAAAAAATCTTTTAAATGAAATTTGTATTACGTTTTTAATGTCCTTTCTGTTTTCTTGTCGAATTTTCGAAACTCTAAATTTTTCGACAACTTGACGTTTGTGATTTTAAAACTTAATCATCTAAAAATGTATTGGTTGCAAAATTTTCAATTTTACAAAGATAACAAAACACACTCTTCGCCCTCCTTTAAAATAATGATACAAAAATATAAACTGGGCAATTTTCTGTATTTGTTTTTTAAAATTACGCTATATTGTAACAGAGAACTGCCTCTTAATTCGGCATTGCAGGGAAAGTAGTTTCGAGGTTATGATTTTACAGCGTTATTTTAATGTTTTCAATTTTACAAGTTTATAAACGTTTTTCTCGGCATTTCATTATAAGAGATAATTTTCTTAATTTTATTGGGGTATGCAATATTACATTCTTTCATGGAACTTTTAAATTTTAACATTCAAAAATGTATCTTTTATAAAGGTTTGAAATTTTCAAAGTTATGAAATAAACGTTTCCAGAAGACGAGAAAATTGTTGATCTTAAAGAATCTGATAGAACACAGTCATGTTTTCAAAACTGATCTTGAATTAGTGAAAAGTATAATACGCACAGCTGTAAAAACGAAGTCGTATGTAGACTGTGCTCGCTACAACATCAAAGGAAGGTTTGTCGAAAAGAAAGGCAGTGCTGCGTAAGTTGTAAAGAGAACCATAAAAAGTTATTTCGCGACTGCAATGTCTAACCCGACGAAATTCAATTCATTAAAGACCACTTACATATTTGAGCATTTCTAAGTTTAAATCGATTCTGTTACGGCACTACGGCCCAGACATTTTGTATTTGATATTGTTTTTACTTCTGACTGTTTTAATTGGGCTTTTTATCTGTCTGGTCCTTTGCAGACGACGTAATAGTGTTTTTATTTGAAGACAAGACTTGTTGATTTTATCGTATATACAGGATTATATCACATAAATAGGATTTTACTAACTAAAAGGTTTGTAGGATTTTATTGATTTTAACTTTGAAAATTTTGCTGTTTCTTTATATATGATTGGACTTTCACTGATTGTAATGATCATTTTAAGTATAAATCTTAATTAAGCCGCCGTAGTAATTTATCAAGCCGCCGTCGTTAAGCTCTCTTCGATAGATAAAATACTAGCATGTACTCCTGTCATTATCCTTATACAAGAACAATACTGTATTAATGGCACCCTTGTCCATACAAATCGACACTGGAGAGTAGTCCATACAAAAGGGGGAGGGCAGCCACAATAGCTGCAAATTTAAAAAC